TTTTAATAGGGTACGTCAACAGAATGTACACTAAGAAGTAATTTTTCGATATTCCACCGCAAGGGAGAGAGACAGGATTAAGGCTTACTGTGAAAAACTTGGCTTCTATTATACTATTTTAGATGCGGGTTTTTGCGTTTTTGATTGCGTTTTAATAGGGTACGTCAACAGAATGTACACTAAGAAGGGATTTTTCGATATTCCCCCGCAGGGGAGAGGGACAGAATTAAGGCTTACCGTGAAGAACTTGGCTTCTATTATATTATTTTAGATGTGGGTTTTTGTGTGTTTGATTGCGTTTTAATAGGGTACGTCAAGAGAATGTACACTAAGAAGAAATTTTTCGAAAAATTTCCTCCCCACGGAGGAAGTGTTATACATTTATAATAGATACATTTTGAGCCACAACAACGCGTGGCAGGGTCTGCTAGTTTGATGATAATTGTGATGAAATTGTTGAAAATGCTTGGAAATAAATAATAATTCATTATAAAATGAAAGTATTTATTAATTTTTAATATAATTTTTCAAGCAGAAACATTAAGTTCTTCTTCGATAAGCTTCAAGCAAGCTTTATATTTTCATATTAATACAATATATTTAAGCTATTTGTTTTTTGCATTAAATAGATAATGAGAAATGATTATTGTAAAAAAGTTTTAATTAGATATACTAAAAATCTTAGGAACTGTAGTAATATGGACACTAAAATTTTAGATTTTTAAATTCTATATCCATAACTCTCAAAGTCTTTAAAAAGTCTTATATGTTGAACATTATTATATGTCTACTGACTAGCTTCTTATCTCTTTTTTATTTAATTAATTCTTAATTACTGTAAAATTTCAGTTATTTTAAAGGTTATCATACTAAGAGATTTGAGGCCATTATTTTATTATAACACTATCTATTACAATATACATTACTTAACTCCGATATCTAGATGTCAAAATTAAATGATGTTACAATAAGATACTGATCTCAAATCTCTTAGTATGATAACCCCTAAAATAACTGAAATTTTACAGTAATTAAGAATTAATTAATGTTGAACATTATACAAGAAAATAATTAATGAAAATAATTATCATGCAGCATCTTTATATATAAATTGTTTCATTATATGGCCAGTAAATCAATAGTAAAAAGAGATATATGACTTCAGAGGTTGGAGAATGGTTTCCAATCTTGTTGAAAAAGTCTTACCACAATAGCATATAACAAGTATAGATGAGAGAAGCATTGCTGTATATGAAGACTATACAGAAAAGAATTAATGTTTAAAAATAGCTTAATCCAGTATGTAACACCAATTTATTAATCAAAGAAATGTTTTTGACCTTAAAGGTCATCCTCAGATTAGAACAATTTTTGTTCAATCATTTTATCTTTTAAACTATTATATTTTTGTTCTAATCTGAAGATGATCTTTACACAAGGTTTTTTTGTTCAATTAATAAATTGGTGTTACTTACTGGATTAATTACACAGCGAACATTTGGTAATTCAGTATTTTATTTATGAATTAATGTTGACATTACTCTTTTATTTTTTTATAATCATTATTTTTATGCAAAGATATAAATTTTATTTTAACTCTTTGTACATTAATTGTTCAATTATTATAAATATTTCATTTAAGTTAATAACTAAAATTGTTCATATTTGATAATTAAGCTTTTACATAATCACACAAAAGTTTAGTTATATATTATATACCTGTGTAAATCGATTCAAGAAAGATCTAGGAAGTCCTTTACGAGCTCCTCCTTGCTTATAAGGATTCTGACAACCAAATATCCATGATCTTCCTTGCTGAACTTTAAAACTTCTTCCTAATTCTGGAATATATACTTCTCCTCGATGATCCAAACAAGCATTCAATCCCTCTAAAACTGATTGAGATGCTAAATTTAACTGTGAATAATTCATCAAATTAAAAATTTACTTTATAATTGTAATAACAATTAATATTATTCCAAAATTTTATATACCTCATCTAATAAAATCCAGCTTCCAGATTTTAATGCCTGTAATAAAGGGCCATCTCTCCATGCAAATATTCCACATTTACCTTCAACAGGCAAATCAGAGCCAAAAAGATCTGATATATCCTGTAAATGTTTATAATTTTGAAATATCAACTTATTTTTTAACTGAAACAAAATAATAATTTTATGTAAATTACTGTATTACTTCAAATATAATGCAACTTTTTTTTGCATATTTCCAAACTTATAGATATGTCTAAAAATTAAATCTTAACTTCAAATCTTTAAATTATCACAACCAGTTTTTTCTTTAAAATCTCTATTTAGAAAATATAGACAGATCTTACATTTGAAATAATATAGTAATAAAAAAAATTAGTTTTAAGTCAAAATTACAGTTTGCTCTGAAAGATTAATTCTAATCAATTGATGTCCTGATGCTTTTGCTAATGCACAAACTAAAGATGTTTTTCCAACTCCAGGAATTCCTTCTAAAAGAATTGGTTTTGGAAGATACATTGCTCTAAGTAATCTTATAGCATTTAATTTAGTTGATTCAGATGATAAGATATATTTTTTTTCTAAGCTACAATCTGTCTTCAAACCTGTAAAAAAATTAATTAAATTTAATTATTACACATTAAACCAAAAATTTTTAAAGTTAAAATATGCTTTGCTATGTAAAATTCTTATTATTTTATATATTAACATATAAAATTATATTATAATTTTCACATTAATTATTGTTACATTAATTTATGTTTTTATATAACATATACAAATATTTTGAGTAATTTTATAACTTTTATTAATTATCAAACAACTGCTTATGTTTACAAATAAAACCAAATAAAATGTTTAACCATCTAATTTTTAAAAATTTCATTATTTAAATATTAAAATGAAAAATACTCTAAATTCATTAAATCCAAAAAGATATGAAATTTTCAGCAAATTAAAGCATTCTTCAGTGAATTATTGTGAAATCTCATAAGCACTCACAAGATATAATCAAAGTAATGCCAGAAAGAATGGTCTTTGTTTCTTGTACTATGATAACACAAGACCACACTATAATAAGGAAACAGTGGTAAAGCTTAAAAACCTGAAGTTACAAGTTATTCTGCATCCTCTTTACAGCTCAGATTTGGTATCATAAGGTTATAGTTGTTTTCAGAATTAAAGATAATACTGAAAGGTCAATATTTTCCACAGGATACTGAAGTTTAAATTGCCCTGTGGAAAAGGATGAAACTTCCTATTGCATACAGTTTTTTCATGCACAGAATCCAAAAATGAATTGAATATTTAAAAAAATATTACCATAAATAATAATTATGTTAAAAAATGGATTTATATGATTAAAATAAAATATTCATTATTTTTTATAACTAGTCACATTATTCTATCTCTTCCCAACTAATTTTATATAAATGGAGACCTTATTTATCAATCAACCATCATACATTTTAGATTCTTCCATTTGTTTTCATTACATAATCTCTAAATTACAAAATTCTTGATACCATATTATAATAATAGAAATATGCATTGTTTTTTTGAGTAGTCAAGTGTTTCATTTTATGTAAGAATATTTTTTGACCATTTTAGACAAGTTTAAGTTATAGAAAATCTTGGAGTATGGATCCAAACATCATAGAATCAAGCAACTGTTTAAATTTAAATTAATATATAAATATTAAAATTAATCTAAATAAAACTTAATTACAAAACAAATCACAAAAATTAATTAAAGTTTTACATAAAAAATTTTAAGCTTAAAATATTAAAACGATAGTGTTCATCACATTCAAAATCTTCAAAATAAACAGTTCTGGTTTCAGTTACAATTCAAAAATTGAATAGTCTTCTTGGCTATAGTTCCAAGTTTAGCTACAGCTGTGCTTTTTAGACAAAATTTTAAATTCAGAATTCATAACTTTACATTTAATTTAATACATATTAAATTATTGTCATGGTAGTTTAATATATTTTATCTTTTAATATAGAATAACAAATTCCTATAAAAAGAAAAAAATACCAACTTTACATATTAAAAACTTCAGACCTTTCTTCATACTTAAATAAAAGTCATCACAATAAAGTACACTGTAGTATCTTCAGTTTTAAAAAAAAACTTTTATAAGAAACATTTTTTATTGTTATAACTCATAAAATTTTTTAAAGAAACAAATTAAAAGAAAGACATGTCATAAATCTGTAAGGATGGCATAAACATGTAATTTAAAAATTTGAGTTAAAAAAAAAATCAAGTCTTAAATATATCTGAAAACAAAATGAGTTTTGAATATAAAGGATTACTGAATTTAACACAAAATTGTATAAAATAATGTAACATAAAATAAAATGGCCTTTTGTAAGCAAATGAATCATAGTTTAGGGAGAAGAAATGACACTCATAGTGTAACTCTATCTCACTTCAAAATATTTTCTTCCAAGTAATACATGCATTTATTACTTGGAAGAAAATATTTTTCCTATTACACAACCTTTACAACCAAAATATTACACAACCTTGCTCTTTAACTTAAGGATGATTGCTAAAAGCAATTGGAAATAGTTGTTTTTCTCCATCATTGTGTTTCACGAGCTGGATTTTTAGTTGTGTAAGTCTTATGAATATTTTCTTCCGTAATTAATCTTAAATATAGATCAACATTAGAAAATAAATTGAAAAAATAAATAATACAAAATAATTTTTTGTATCTTATTAGGGTGTTGAACAACAAAATTTTGCAATATTTTAAAATTCCAATACTATATGGCTCTAGTTCAACTAGAGGAAAAAAAGTCTTGAATATTTGCATAAATTTTTTTGAATATATATTATTTTTATGTGAAAGTACAGTAGAGTCTCTATAGTCCATCACTCACCAGGGCAGTGCACATGAAATTTTCGTTACCCCTTTTCAATGTATGTGACAGAGAGAGACTGATGTACATATATAGTGTCAGTAGGCAGTTCTTTATTGCATGTGCAGTCAGCAAAATAGTCACAATTGTGATTAATACAATAAACTAACAAGTTTATTGTATTAACTTGTAAACATGCATTTGGTTCACAATGTAATACAATAAACTAACAAGTTTATTGTATTACATTGTGAACCAAATGCATGTTTTACTGTACAGTACATACAGACATACATACATATTAGGGGCAGTCAAATGAAAACGAGACAAACTATATAAGAATTGTGGCACAGAAGTTGGTAATGCAGGTAGGTGTGTATATAGAAGTGCCCTCTATTGGGAATCAGGAAGGAACAGTATGAACGTTCACTGCTGTGCCATTTGTCTGTTAGACGTTCTCGAAGTGAGGTAGGCGAGTCGTGTGTGCGTCCAACATCACTATGGAGGTCCGCTGCTTGTTGACTTTCTGGAACACAGCGCCACATTAACACACAGCAGTGCATGGAAACTTTGCAAAAATTAAAGTGTGCCATCAAATCCAAACACCCAGGAATGTTGACAGACAGCATCATTCTGTTGCAGCATAATGCCCACCTATATGTTACCAAGGTTGTTTTGACTACGCTTCTGCAGAAGTTCCCAGCAAAACTTCTGCAGCATAGTCCATACACATCCTCCATACAGTCACGATTTCTCTCCATGCGATTTCCATATTTTTGGATCCTCGAAGAAAGACATTCGTGGCCGTCAATTTGCTTCAGACGAAAAGGTGCACGCCTGGGTACAATCATGGTTCTGTAGGCAACTGCAAACATTTTCTATGAAGGCATTGATCATATTGTCTCACAGTGGGATAAATGTATTAACAGTTATGGCAATTATTTTTGAAATAATAAACAGTTTAATTACTGTTTTCCCATCTGTCTCGTTTTCATTTGACTGCCCCTAATACATACATACATACATACAAAATCCAGTAATCTGACACTTACTAGTCCAATTTATTTCACATTACAGATACCCCCTACTGTAGTTACACTAGTTAACATCTGAATAATTATCTCATTTTCTATCTTATTTATCCATCTTAATTAATATCTTGTATTTTATATAAAATTATATAAATGAACTTACCCATTGGTATATAAAATGGTTCTATTCCAAACCATTCCTGNTATTATATCATTGTTATTTAACGATGTCGCCATTGTCTATGCTCTGTTATCAACTATGACGTCACTCCCCATTAACTCCCTATCGTGATAGTGCATCTTCTTTACTAATCGCATTTACTAGTTAACATCTGAATAATTATCTCATTTTCTATCTTATTTATCCATCTTAATTAATATCTTGTATTTTATATAAAATTATATAAATGAACTTACCCATTGGTATATAAAATGGTTCTATTCCAAACCATTCCTGATCAAGTGTTACTTCAGCACTTTTTTTTAAATCAAATGATAAGAATTCTGTTTCATTTAAAAATTTCTTCATTTGTTTCTCTAAAAATTTTACACTGATATCATATGCACATTTTATTTGATGAGAATTACTATCACTTGTCATTCCTTAAAAAAAAATAGACAAAAAAACATTAAAGGATGGAAAAATAGCATAGTATTAATTCTCAAATAATAACATACCAGAACCAAGACTATCCAAAATTACAAGACAAGCTCCATGAATATAAGCATGTGATAAATGAATTTCTGCTATATTGGAATTTTTACTTGTTGAATAGTTGATAAAATTTACCCAAGATAAAATATCACGAATACTCAATGAATATCTGTAATAAATTTTAAAAAATTTAGTAAAATTGTAGCAGTCTGAAACATTTAAACATATAGATCTTAAATATTATTCAATAACTCCAGACAAAAAATATCAAGGTTTACTGCGTGAATTATACAAATTTAGTAATAATTACAAGAGTGGTTCAACTTCTATCTGGAATTTCAGTAATGGCAATGCTCTACAAACTGACACTTTTTCCATCATTTTAGCAACAACGTTATGCTTTCAGAATAAAAGTATTTTGACTGGTGTTGGAGCCAATGCATAATAAACTCTTTGACATCAGAGAGTTCTTGTGGTGGCTCTTGTCACCCAAAACTTCCTTTAAAGGTCAAGCAGATGATAATTGAATAGTGATACATTGGAACTGCAGGCTGGGCAGTGCAGAATTTCCTAACAAAATCCATTGATTGCCTCCACTAAGCACAGTGTCATACTCTGACACCAATTCTGCAAGCATGCCATTGTTGCCAAAATGAAAGAAGTGTCAATATGTGAAAGAAGAGTACCTAGAAAACACATAAATAAATTGGGGCTACATAGTATACATAGCTCCACTGCCATATAATTCCTGATAAAAGTTGAATCTCTCTTGTATTTATAATAAGCAAACATTTTCAGCCATCTCATTTAAATAGCTAAAAACATTTGTTTATGGTAAGTAATTACTGTTTGATTATAAAATTTTCAAATTATTTATTTGAACTATTTATCAGATTTTTTTGGGTTTCATGTTTTCAAATTTATTAACTAAAAAAATAAAGCATAAAGTTTCAACAGAAAATTTTTAGTGCAAACTTTTTACCTTATTTAAAGGCTGTCTTTAGGCTACATAGAATCAAATACATGAACCACTTAACAGGTTTTAGTGAAACATAAATAAATATATATGAATATATGTATAAATAAATGTATAGTCAACATTGTAATCATTCCAAAACATATCAGGATACTGCCCTGATATGTTTTGGAATGATTACAATGTTGATACTTTATTAAAGCAAGGCAAAGTCCTTGTACTTTGTAAACATCTATGCTACCTTGTGAAAAAAACTGAGAAGATTACTTCTTGCAGTCTTTTGTTCACACTTTTTGTGCATTTAAGCCATTAAGAAGTTCAAAAATTTGATTCTGTGTAATCTAAAGATGGTCTTTAAAATAAGGCCATAAACATTTGTGATTAAAATTTTCCATTGCAGTTTATGGTTATTGCACTAGTAAATTTACAATTATCTAATTGAAATTATTACATGATCCAAACTCGTTATAATAGTCACAATAAAATAAAATATCACCATTAAATATAATAATAATGAGCAGTTATTTATTGTGACATCGCCACAATGTCGGGCTGAAATTTTTAACCATATTTTTAATTTATTTAATTTAAAATATATACTCTCCATTTCCAATTAGTAATGTCTTGTCCCTGTACATTGTACCTTTTCTGTTAACAATAGAGTTGTGCAGGTCACCTATCTAACTCCTTTCAGGGGAAAAGTTTTTAATTGAAATAATGTGACTTCTATTGTAAACTGGAGGTTTATATATATTTAATCAAAATCTCCTGCCCCAAAGCTTTCCATATCTGGTCTCTACTTTCATCTATCTAACTCCATTCTTGAGATTAAGAGAGGTCAGATAGACATACAGACAGATGACAGTGAAAATTTATAGGTCTACATTTTTTTTTTCAAATTGCAGCCTAATTAAGTTTTGTTTAACAGATGCAAGATTTTCAAATTTGATTAGGTTAATTGGGCTGCAATGTGAAAAAATTGTGTACCTATAAATTCCAACTGTTGTCCATCTGTCCATCCTTAATTAATCTCGAGAACAGAGTGAGATAGATGACAGACAAGACTAGATATACATAAGGTTTCCAACCTTAGGGGGCAGGAGATCCTGATTAACTACATACAAACTTCGATGCAAACCAGAAGTCACATTATTGAATTCAAAAAACTTTTCCCCTGAAAGCAGTTAATAGATGACTGGCATGACTCTATTGTTAAAGGAAAAGTATGATGTACAGGGACAAGCCACTACTAATAATTTGAGGTGGAGAGCTTAAATTTTAAATTAAATAAATTAAAAATATGATTAAAATTGCAGCCCTTTATTGTGATGATGTCACAATTAATAATTTCTCATTACTTAATACATTTAGTATATTGAAACTATACATTACTCAAAAATAGTATAAGTAATGTTACATCATAAATATTAACTCAAAAAAAGATAAAATTACCATTTATATTCATTTATAATAATTAATAAGTAAAATTCTCAAAAATATAAAATTTCTAAATTAAAATTCTATAACATATAAAGTAGAAGTAAAATACTGTAAAATCAAAATTAAATATCTATATAATAATACTCTTCTATGCATTTGTAGCTAGAACTATTTTAAGATGACCAAGACAAAACCTTTCTCACTTGTTTCTAGCCATTTATACACGAGTACAAATGTTTTCAGCCTTCTTAGTAGGCCTTCTTCAGGTACACTATGGTCTGTTAGAGCGTCAGTTGGTAGAAATTTGAACGGTGTCAATGTTTACATATGTATCGTCTTACCAGTGACGTCATCGTTGATGATAAGGTATAGACAATACTGAGAGTGTTAAATTTTTTTCTTTTGGTAAAAATGAAAGGTGTGCGAATAGTTCATGATGGAATAATTGATAAAGTTGGGAAATAAAATTGGAAAATAAATGCGATAAGTAAAGAAGATGCACTATCATGATAGGGAGTTAATGGGGAGTGACGTCATAGTTGATAACAGAGCATAGATGATGCCTACATCGTTAAATAACAATGATATAATAAGAAAAGGCATACGAACAACCATAGATGGGAAAGGTGTTACGCTTGGAAAGCAGACCCATCTATGGTCATTCGCACACCTTTTCTTATTATATCATTGTTATTTAACGATGTCGCCATTGTCTATGCTCTGTTATCAACTATGACGTCACTCCCCATTAACTCCCTATCGTGATAGTGCATCTTCTTTACTAATCGCATTTATTTTCCAATTTTATTTCCCAACTTTATCAATTATTCCATCATGAACTATTCGCACACCTTTCATTTTTACCAAAAGAAAAAAATTTAACACTCTCAGTATTGTCTATACCTTATCATCAACGATGACGTCACTGGTAAGACGATACATATGTAAACATTGACACCGTTCAAATTTCTACCAACTGACGCTCTAACAGACCATAGTGTACCTGAAGAAGGCCTACTAAGAAGGCTGAAAACGTTTGTACTCGTGTATAAATGGCTAGAAACAAGTGAGAAAGGTTTTGTCTTGGTCATCTTATATAATAATAATATAGGGATTATCCAGTTGTTAGTCAATTCACTAAAAACTAATAATAATACAAATTTGGGAAAAATTCTGAAAATGTTTTGCAATAAACATATATTTAAACAACAACACACAACACCAGAGTGTATAGACATACATTTCTCAAGAACAATGTATTCTAGTATTTTAAACATCCAGAACTCTTATTTTGGCAACAGAATAATATTTCATGCTTAATATGCAACATTCAATGTTACTTTTCATGAAGACCATTAACAGAATTGCCAGTTGTACTATAATTATCAATTTTAACATAATTTTAAATGAGATTTGATAAAATAAATTTATTTGCTAATCCCTAATCCATAATTTTATCATCAATTTGCATAATTCAGTTTACAATATATGTTCTGCATGTAAAAGTAAGTAATATATATGTATTTTCATGGCAGTGACAATCTGACAATGAAATTATTTAAATGTTAATCCATTTTAAGCTATTTATTGTACTGTGGGGTTGCCTATCATTTTTCTCTCCCTCAATAATTTTTTGGCCTTTTCATTCTTTAAACTAATTCCTTTTATTCTCTCGCTGAATGTATTGCTTCAGACAATGTTAAAATTTCATAAAAAAACTTTTTTAAGGAAAACTGGTCTTATAGGGAAATTCCAATGTGCAACTCTTCATAGAAATTAAGTTACATGTAGGAAATTCCTGGAAGAAGCAGCCATTCAAGGTAAAACTTGTTTATTAATTTGGCTAAATATTTTATCTGAATAAGACAAAAGCCAAGAAATCATATACTTTAAGGTTATACTCTAATAATGCACAATCCACAATTCTTTTTATTTACAGTTTAATTTATAAATTCTTAAATTATATTACTAACCTGTAACCAAAATCATTATTTCTGAACCATTCCAAAAACTCCATCATTATTTTGCCAAAACTATCCTTTCTTTCATTTGTAATGATTGGATGTTTAATATTATGTTTAATAATATTAATGATGTCTTCTTTCTCAGTTGTACTTGGACACCAAATTTCTGTAAAGCGATTTCTCAATGCAGGAGAGAGCTAGATTTGAAATTAAAATTATAAAACTTACATTATGCATTTATATTAAAATAAATAAAAGATTAATATTTTTAAAATTATAAACATATTACATCAGTAGAAATAAAGTGTATCTGAAAATTAAGTAAATCTCTCAGAAAAAATAAACATATTTTGTATACTAGAAACAATAGTTTACAGAACTTTTGAAACTAATTTATAATTCTAAAGATTTATGAGGGGCAAGTATGATATTGTTTCTATAAGTTCTAGCTAAATTTCCAAGTATATTTTGAAATCTGTGAGTATCTTCACTATTTCATTTTGTTTGTTTAGTGAATTTTGTCTTGTTTATTTTGAATAGCTACAGAATGATATAAGGATAACACCAGTTGATTTTGCTTAATTGACACTCAACATCATTGAGACATTTACTTTACATGAGCACAGTATTCAAAAGATAAGATCCTCAGGATTGAGCTTCCTCTAAATCCCTTTTATTAACCAGTGAAATTGAAATAAAAACACACAAGAGCTTAAACATGTATACAATCAAACTTTCAGTGAAACAGAGAGAGAAAGATAATTTTAGCAGGTCTATGTATTAGCAGCAAACATCTGAATCTCAAAATAATGAAGATAAGTCTTTGGTCCTTAAAAGTTTGTAGCACTGCACAAACTTTACAATGAACAGTACAATGTGCACTATCAAAAAGATAACTGAGATCTGTACAAGCTGAACTTCTTACATTCTTCTGGATTGTTCAATAAGAATTCATATTCCATTGAATAATTCAATAAGGACTGATCTCCTTATTTTGAAAATTGGTATAATTTTTTCAATCTCTTTTCAGATTCCTCTATAAGTTTTATTTTGAGTGATAGACATTCAGGCCATGCACTATTTTGATTAAACAAAGAATTGTCATTTTTGGGAATTATCCTTGAGCTGACCTTTTTCCCAGGAATACACTTCTCTTTTATTTCTCATCTCTCTCATGTTACATCTAATGTTTAATTACTTAGACTTTTCTCTACTTGAGTCTAATTATCAAATTTCAAATAAATAACTTGTAAAATTATTCATGTTTTTTACTAACCTTGTACTTGACAAATTTTAATTAACCAATGTTTTGCTACAGCCAAATTATTTATCTACAAGCCAGATTATTTTCAGGCTATAATTAAATTAATTATTAAATAATCAGCTTATATAATTTTATTATTCAATAAATAGCTTAATTATAGCATGATTGTCTATATGTAAACATTTGCTATTAGAAAATCAGGCTTTAGTTATTTGTACACAGCTTTACAAATCAAAAATAAAAACCTAGGCATCTTTGGATTTGTAAAAATATTAGAATTATTATCTTGTAATTTATTTAATATTATTGATTGTATTAAGAGAAATTTGGCAAAAAAATTAAAATATTCCTTAATTAAACATTTCCAAATATTCTAATACCATAGATTTATATCTTTAAAAATCATAATTATTAATGAGATGTTTAATAATTTTTAAACTAAAAACAAATCCAGCAAATCAAATATCAAAATTTGGTATAAAATTTAAAAAAGAAAAACTGAATAAGTTATATGCTTACTTCTTTTTTTCCAAAATCTCCTCCAGGATTCATTGTTGCTAAAAACTGAAAACCATCTTTAGCCGTAACAATTATTTCCTGTAAATTATTTTCAGAATTTCCTTTTTCAGCTAGTAGGAGAGTACATTCTGGCTCTAAAACACTATTTAATCTTTCTAATACAGAATCATCAGCAAGAGATATTTCATCGGCTAAAAATATATTTCCTGTCTTCATTGATAATGTTAATGGACCATCTACCCATTCAAATAATTTTTGGGAATCCTAATAAATGCAATTGTAATTTTTTTCAAATTGAAATAATGGTAAGACGATACATATGTAAACATTGACACCGTTCAAATTTCTACCAACTGACGCTCTAACAGACCATAGTGTACCTGAAGAAGGCCTACTAAGAAGGCTGAAAACATTTGTACTCGTGTATAAATGGCTAGAAACAAGTGAGAAAGGTTTTGTCTTGGTCATCTTAAAATAGTTCTAGCTACAAATGCATAGAAGAGTATTATTATATAGATATTTAATTTTGATATTACAGTATTTTACTTCTACTTTATATGTTATAGAATTTTAATTTAGAAATTTTATATTTTTGAGAATTTTACTTATTAATTATTATAAATGAATATAAATGGTAATTTTATCTTTTTTTGAGTTAATATTTATGATGTAACATTACTTATACTATTTTTGAGTAATGTATAGTTTCAATATACTAAATGTATTAAGTAATGAGAAATTATTAATTGTGACATCATCACAATAAAGGGCTGCAATTTTAATCATATTTTTAATTTATTTAATTTAAAATTTAAGCTCTCCACCTCAAATTATTAGTAGTGGCTTGTCCCTGTACATCATACTTTTCCTTTAACAATAGAGTCATGCCAGTCATCTATTAACTGCTTTCAGGGGAAAAGTTTTTTGAATTCAATAATGTGACTTCTGGTTTGCATCGAAGTTTGTATGTAGTTAATCAGGATCTCCTGCCCCCTAAGGTTGGAAACCTTATGTATATCTAGTCTTGTCTGTCATCTATCTCACTCTGTTCTCGAGATTAATTAAGGATGGACAGATGGACAACAGTGGGAATTTATAGGTACACAATTTTTTCACATTGCAGCCCAATTAACCTAATCAAATTTGAAAATCTTGCATCTGTTAAACAAAACTTAATTAGGCTGCAATTTGAAAAAAAAAATGTAGACCTATAAATTTTCACTGTCATCTGTCTGTATGTCTATCTGACCTCTCTTAATCTCAAGAATGGAGTTAGATAGATGAAAGTAGAGACCAGATATGGAAAGCTTTGGGGCAGGAGATTTTGATTAAATATATATAAACCTCCAGTTTACAATAGAAGTCACATTATTTCAATTAAAAACTTTTCCCCTGAAAGGAGTTAGATAGGTGACCTGCACAACTCTATTGTTAACAGAAAAGGTACAATGTACAGGGACAAGACATTACTAATTGGAAATGGAGAGTATATATTTTAAATTAAATAAATTAAAAATATGGTTAAAAATTTCAGCCCGACATTGTGGCGATGTCACAATAAATAACTGCTCATTATTATTATATTTAATGGTGATATTTTATTTTATTGTGACTATTATAACGAGTTTGGATCATGTAATAATTTCAATTAGATAATTGTAAATTTACTAGTGCAATAACCATAAACTGCAATGGAAAATTTTAATCACAAATGTTTATGGCCTTATTTTAAAGACCATCTTTAGATTACACAGAATCAAATTTTTGAACTTCTTAATGGCTTAAATGCACAAAAAGTGTGAACAAAAGACTGCAAGAAGTAATCTTCTCAGTTTTTTTCACAAGGTAGCATAGATGTTTACAAAGTACAAGGACNAGAGGTTCTACTGTATAATATATTAATGACTACAGTTGATTGATACTATCATCATACAGACATATTCAAATAAGTATCTTTTCTTTAAAAAAACATTTAAATGAATATGTTTAAGTAATTTTATAATTGGCATTTATTTATTTCTAAACTATTACAGAGAATCCTCATTAATTCAAACTCAGATATGTGGTTTTGTATTTATTACTGTCCATTTCTAAGTCTGAAGTGTTCTTAAAACATTAATAATTTTCTAGTTCAAACATTTTTAATTTCAATTTTGGAAATTAATAGAATATTTATTATTAAACAAAAATTCTAATCTCAATATTTAACATACCTTTCTCTATAATATAGATAATCCACAGTAAATTAATAGTAATCGACAATTTTAATTTTAAACTGTATGCATACTTTGTTCCAGAAAGGATTTTAATTTAAACTTGTAAATTGTTTGTATATCACATTTGATTTTAATGTAGCTGTTTTGTTCTGTGTTATGTGTTTGATTATGTCTGCTTAAATGGACGAAAATGTTAGTAAATATTTCTTTATTTATTAATTTCCTATTTGCTGGTATTGGTTTGTTGTATGTGTTTATTCTATCCCAGTATTGGAGAGTTATTGGTAAATTAATAGTATATGACTTACAAAAAAACCAAAAAATTAAATGCACCAATAGAAAGCATTCATAAAACTTTACAAAACTATATAAAGAGCTGAGTGAAGTCAAGTTAAATTACAAGATATAGTCAACACAATTAGAGTTGGCCATTGGGTTGGTTCATTTTCGTCTTTAAGGGGTGATAGAATTGTTCACAAATGCACATATTCTCCCTTCGGCTTCATTTAATCTTGAAAAGAGGTCAAGTGCGTGTGGACNCCCATAAGAAAACATTGATAGAGATAAAACAATTACTATAGTTTCCTTGTTGCAAGACAATCGTTTTTTAATTTTTTCATGGTTCAAAAAAGTCAGAATCAGTGGGTTGGTTCATTTTCGTCTTTAAGGGGTGATAGAATTGTTTACAAATGCACATATTCTCCCTTCGGCTTCATTTAATCTTGAAAAGAGGTCAAGTGCGTGTGGACAATCCATGAGTATATGTGTATTTGTAAACAATTCTATCACCTACTTAAAGATGTAAAAATAAACCAACCCAAGAGCCGACTGCAGTTACGTCAACTATATATACAAAGCAGGCTCTTGGTATTTAGTGTGATTACAGATGACTAGATATCAGTATTTTAAATTTTTATTTTATACAGGCTTATATTGTTTTGTAATATATCATAAAATACTAATGTGGGCCACAGGTTGCCCATCCTTGGTCTATAGAATAAGATACACTCAAAAACGAAAATTGATCTTTCTAAGGTACCTTTTTATAATTGCATCACATTTATTTATAACTTAATATCATTAAGGAAAAATAACTTTTCTAATAAAGTTAGAATTTATTAATATGATAATATATTAAATTAAAAATAAACTAACAATGAGTGTGAAAAACATACCCAGTTTCTCCAACAAGTAAAACAGGTTCACCAAATTTCATTGCTTGACTGACAAGAATAGCTAATCTTTTCATATTAGAAGTCCATACTATATGACTAAATTCTTCTGGTAAAGTATCACTTTTTAAATCAAACAAAACTTTTGAAATTTCATTATCTATACCATTTCCATTTGTAAAAAGTAATTTTGGTTTAATTTTACAATGCATGCATTTTTCAATCACTTCTTGAATAACATCAGCTTCTTCTTGTTTTCGAACACGTCCTGCTAGCAACATATAACCTAACAACAAAAATACAAATTATCAAAATATAAAATTATAATGGATATATATGTATATTTTAAATAAATAACCAAACATTGAGAAACTGCTTCAATATTCTACAACTAATTTAACCCAAGTAACTTTCACAACTCGGAAACAGAGATTGGTAGTGTGAAGAAACAGTTTAATAGAATGTCTTTGCATTTGTAGCTAAAACTATTTTAAGATGATCAATACAAAACCTTCCTCACTTATTTTTAGCCATTTATACATGAGTATGAATGTTTTCGGCCTTCTTAATAGGCCTTCTTCAAGTACAGACAGTTTACCTGAAGAAGGCCTATTAAGAAGGCCGAAAATGTTCGTACTTGTGTATAAATGGCTAGAAATAAGTTCCATTCTAAATATTGGTGAAAGAATTTTCGAAATTGGATGAGTAGTTTCGGAGATTACCTGCTACAAACAAACTTACATACAAACATTACCTCTTTATAATATTAGTATAGAAGTATAGATATAGATTTGATCTATACATTAGTTATCAAATATTTCAAATGCATTTTCTACATTATATTTATCCACTGAAAAATTATATAATTATATTATTAGACAAATTCTAAATATAATATTTCTGTAATTTTTATCCATTTGAATTCTTAGTTAACATGTCAAACATACTAAATATGAAAAATATTATAATAAACATACTATCAAGCATTGTAATAATATGCAATAAAAGATATTGATAATATTTAACTATATTCCAAATACTCCAAATATATATTAACCTTCATTTGCTAAATGTTCATTCCAATCATAAAACTTTTCAGTTTGTGTAGATAATCTATATCGTTCTCCCCATCTAAATAAATCACGCAGTGTAATATATCCTTGTTTTCCAGCAAATATACCACTCTGACATCGACGAATCTACAAAGAATATTAAGACATTTTAATAAATTTTAACATAATTTTATTTTAAAAACATTCAAAAATGGATTATTAATTTTTCAAATATTATAAATGTTACTAGTAAAAGATATCTATTTCAAATATGTACTGGTACATATATATTATACCTGAAGTTCTTGCATCACATTTACAAGTTTCTTACTGTAAGTAGGTGGAAGAGCACATCTTTTTTCTAAAATTGTTTGCAATTCTTCAGGGGGTATTTCATCAAAATGCAATTCAATAAAACGATTTCTGAATGCTCGAGATAAAATCTAAAGTCAAGAAAGAAAATACTGTAGAAATAATTCAATAATATAAAAAAAAATCCTATTACAAACATATTAGAAAAATCAATAAAATACAAAAAACTTGTATAAAATACTTTNTAATATAGCTACAACCAACAGACTGCCGAAAATCTATCGGGCTAGTTTTATGCTAATTATTAAATAAATTACGTAATCAATTTGGTACTAGAGGTCTAAATATAATATTTCTGTAATTTTTATCCATTTGAATTCTTAGTTAACATGTCAAACATACTAAATATGAAAAATATTATAATAAACATACTATCAAGCATTGTAATAATATACAATAAAAGATATTGATAATATTTAACTATATTCCAAATACTCCAAATATATATTAACCTTCATTTGCTAAATGTTCATTCCAATCATAAAACTTTTCAGTTTGTGTAGATAATCTATATCGTTCTCCCCATCTAAATAAATCACGCAGTGTAATATATCCTTGTTTTCCAGCAAATATACCACTCTGACATCGACGAATCTACAAAGAATATTAAGACATTTTAATAAATTTTAACATAATTTTATTTTAAAAACATTCAAAAATGGATTATTAATTTTTCAAATATTATAAATGTTACTAGTAAAAGATATCTATTTCAAATATGTACTGGTACATATATATTATACCTGAAGTTCTTGCATCACATTTACAAGTTTCTTACTGTAAGTAGGTGGAAGAGCACATCTTTTTTCTAAAATTGTTTGCAATTCTTCAGGTGGTATTTCATCAAAATGCAATTCAATAAAACGATTTCTGAATGCTCGAGATAAAATCTAAAGTCAAGAAAGAAAATACTGTAGAAATAATTCAATAATATAAAAAAAAATCCTATTACAAACATATTAGAAAAATCAATAAAATACAAAAAACTTGTATAAAATACTTTCATAACTACATGTTTTAATTCTAAATCATTACTAAACAGTTTCAAATATTTACCACAATAACTACTATGTACTGAATCAATAAAAGAAAGTTAAAGAATGTAAAATACTTTTGATTTTATTTATAAGTTAACTGAAGTTGTGTCTATTATTTCACATAATTACAAATGATTTATAAAAAGCTATTAAAATTAAATTTGTAAGAACTTAAAAAAGATAAACAAAATTTTTAGAATAATCCAACAACTGTTTTACAGCAATTAGAATATCATTCCATATTACACTAGTAATTATTTTTATCCCAATACTTAAGAAGTAAATAATATAAGTCATCAAAAATTAAAAGATTAAATCTATTTGACTCTGAAAATAGCATTGCTAGAATAAATTGATTTAAATTGATAAAAACATTAACCAAAAAAAAAAACAAAAAATAAAGGAAACTGACTAGAAAAAGTAGCTTATTATAGAATCAATTCAGAACATACAAACTGTAGTAATAATCAAAACAGAAGAGAGTAAAAATAAAACTCCGATCACTAAAACAAATAAGAATGCTTTCATTAGCTATACCTAGACTTTTGGCTTTGTTAAAACACACAAGCCAAGCCAATAGTTATGCCCAGTAGTTGAAAAGTATGCATCCCCAACATACATATTAGAAAAATACATATATAAAACTCTTAAAACCTCAAATAATAAATGCCAGATTTAAAATCAGTAGCCCAATGTAGTTAGCAGAAGAACTAAAGCAAATAGTCTTAACCAATGATAAAAACATTTCTGTTTTGGACTGCCAAAGTTTTATACCCATCCTTAAAAATGAAACCATGTCTTAATTGTTCACTAAAAAAATTAAGTAGAAGCAAATGGGATGATCACCCATAAGAAAACATTGATAGAGATAAAACAATTACTATAGTTTCCTTGTTGCAAGACAATCGTTTTTTAATTTTTTCATGGTTCAAAAAAGTCAGAATCAGTGTCATTAATATGGTCGGGTATGATATCCTTTACTGACATATTTGAAAGTTTGGAAAATATTGACACAATCTCTATGAAACTACTGGTACAAATTAATATAAATAACCTCTGTTAGATGTAAATACCAAACTGGTTGTAAATAAAATTACTAGTTTATTGGAACCAGCAAAAATAAAAGAAATGAAACAAAAACAAACATTCTTCAAAGCTGAAGATGACCATTTAAAACGAAAGAAAACATTTGTTTTCATTTTATTTCTTTTATTTTTGCTGGTTTATTGGTATTTATGTTTAGCTGAGGTTATTTATAAAATATTGACAGAAGCTGCCACAGATAAGTTTCCACAAATTTTGTATGCATGCATAGAAACATATTTCTAGAGAAGTTGTCACTGGTGCATTTAAAAAATGTTTGATCTCAAATGCACTTGACAGCACAGATGATGTTCTGTACAAAGACAGCAACAAAGAACCAAGTGACAATAAATCTGAGTCATCTGATGATAGCAATTGAACAATCAAATAATGTAAAATTTATTCCTTATACTTAAATAATAAATTTTCAATTTTTTTTTATTTTTGTTTTCAATTTCCTGGGGTTGGCTTACAATCAAATAAATATGGTAATATACTACTCATCTTTCAAATTTGATGAGGAGGTATACATACAAAACAGAGGAATCTGTATGGGAGTTAAACAGGATCAGAAACATAGAAGCCACTCACAGATACAACCAATACACCATCAATACCTTAGTTAATACATACAACTACAGAAAATTCCCCAAAAAGCTAAACATCCTCCACCCATGACAACACATACAAGTTGCTAGATAACACCTTCAGAAAGGCTATGACATTGGGGAACAAGTAACTAATGTATAAGTGCAGTAATACAATTTACAGCTTATCGTGTAATGACAACAACCCAGTCAATCCTACCACAGTCCTAAGAATGTAAGAAATATCCTTCACTCTAGGTCTAGAAAACTGCCTCAGCAAATACAAGGGATACATATCCCAAAACCTTCCCACTGGGATCAAGGAGCATCAATACGACATAAATAAAAATCACCAGGAACAAACACACAGAAAAATTCTAGAAAAAATAACTACAGTATATACAAATATAGGATTAAGAATTCACGTATTAATCATAAAAATGTCACTTGCTTATCCGCAGCATGAAGAGGTTAAAAGCACATACACTAATTACTATTGTATATATTCAACAGTCCTGTAGTGTGTTGTTATCATTGTTTGTATTAAATAATTACATAAATGTTCAATCCTGAGGATGGTTATTTAGATAGCCATTTGATGAATAAAAAATTGTTGCTGAAAAAGGCTAGAACTCTTTAGGTTCATACTTTACTCCAGTTTAAAAAGCTTATTAATGAATTTTTAGATAAGACAAAAAAAAGTTACAAATTAATAAGAAAAAAACTGTATAAAACTTATGTAATTGACATTTATAATATAGCTACAACCAACAGACTGCCGAAAATCTATCGGGCTAGTTTTATGCTAATTATTAAATAAATTACGTAATCAATTTGGTACTAGAGGTAAGCGTTAGGCGCCATCTCTTATTAATATTAATAATTATAAATAAATTNTCTACATATATTTATTCTACATCTTTTGCACTTCAATTTCACCTTTCCAGAAAAGTTAGTTCAACTAAAAAGTGTGCAACTAGCTACTTCAGCAACCTCTTATTCAAAAAAGAAAAATATATACTCTGATCAATGAGTCTGGCTCATTCAGAAAAACAGACTACTTATTTAGAGCAAGGATAATAAAGGAATGAATCAAAAATATTCAAATAAAATTGGGTCAAAATAATTTAACTATTAAATACAAATGCCACAAAGAAAACTATTGATACATATTTAATAAATTAAATTGTTGCATTTTGTATTTAAAATAAATGAATTATAACAAAATACAAAAATATTTTTAAAAATGAATAAATATAAAATAAATTTTCTTTCATTTAAATAAAAAAACTAAATTAATTTAAAATGCTGGAGTTGGAGTCAACACATTTTTACCGATTCCGATGCCACAGACCTGATGTAAACTACTTGCTTTAAACTCAAATGCAACAACATTTTCCCATAAATGTAGTTTATACATATTAACAGAAGAAATTTTAATTTAATAATAGAAGATCAATAATAACCATAACTTTTTAAAAACCTGTCATGATTCTACTTCATCCATTATATAACTGAAAAGTAATGTAATCTGTTTTAATATATTAATAAAAACTGTTTTTTTCACTGCAACTGTATAATTACTGTTTCATGCATTTAGACTTTTTCCATTTGTTAAAACTAACAAGGAGAGTTGTAAGATGGAAAACACAATCTGAATGAAACTTTTGCTGTTTGCTCCTGCATGCAAACATAAAATATTAAGATGTAGATGGGAGAATCATTAAATAATAATAAACAAAAAAGATTTGAGGCCTCTTATAAAGAAAACAAAAAGGATGGCATTTCAAAATGCTGCATCATGATATAGTAAGATCTTTGCCTACTGCAATGTTACTGGAATTTTTTTTCAAACTATTGTTGAAATAGTATATATTTATAAATAACATTTAAATTAATTAAACAAAAAAATATATATATTTAATAAATTGTTTGACTACTACTACTGATATTGATGAAGTTACTTAGAATAGAATAATTTTATTACTTTATTGCCTTGTTAATTTATATACAAATTTAAAACTAGCTGGCCAAATTTGGCTGTGATCTATAAATGTAAGCAGAGTAAAATTTTTTGTTGTCAGTAAAATGGAGCCAGTGTCATCAATGTCTAAAGTTTTGTATACTGATACTTCTCTGGCAGTTTACTAAACAGCAATTAGAAATTCAAGAATTGTTTAAAAACAACTTTTAAAAGATGTATTTGTTTATTTGGAATAATTATTCTAAATCAACAAATAAGTGGCAGACAATCCATCAGGATATATCTCAGAAACAGCAAATATTAAAAAATTGTTTCATTTAAATAATTTATTATTTATAAATTATTTTACAAAAGCTTAAAATATTGGGATTTGAACTCAACACAAAATTTTAGTTGGTAAAAGTCTTAGTAAAATGCCAAAAATTATTTATAAATTATCATTTTATAAACATTAATCTAGCTGCCAAAGGGAAAGTTGAACCTCTAATCTGGCATTCAGCAATCTAGCAACTCCCATTGCCTAGTATGTTTTGGATTTGCCACCACTTGTTTGTAGATCAGTTATGTCTGTTTATTTCATTCAAATATAATTAATTAAGGCAAAAGCAAGCTATATTGCAACATTGGTTGAAGGTCATCAATAACTGATTCAAAGACTAATTCCAATGTAGAAAATCTACTTTGTTGCATCTTCTCTGTTTCTGTTGTACACACACACCTGATAAGCATAGCAACCCTAATGACCCTGCATACCATGAAGATACTGCTGACTTCCGGTGCTTCAGGAACAAAGTACTTTTTAGTTTTGGGCTTTATATCACATAAAACAATGAAAAAAATCTTGTTTAAAAGCATTAATAGTTGTATTATTTCCTGAAATTTAGCTCTACCTTTGATAATACAGCAATATGTATATGGAATAAGCATATGGTTATGTAGGTGGTTTCCTTAGAGATCTTAAAGGGCAATTTCTATAATACAGCATTTTCTGTAGTATTGAAAATGGTCAGATCCCAAAGTTGCCAGATTAAGGAGATTCAATTTGTAGTTTGAAAGTATTGTTGATCTACTATACAGAAATTCAAAGGATATAAAAAGTAAAATAAGCTAGACTTCAATTCTTAGCTTTTTTAAGAATTATACTTCTCAACCATTTTGAAACATTAAGATTTTTTTTCATTTCTTATGATTTAAAAATTCACTATATTGTATTTTGGTGTAAAATTAATTTTTTTATTATAAAATGTATATTCAATGTTCATTATTCTTCTCCTAACTGCACTAGTTTTTTCATTCATAATCCTATTGTTGGCAAAGAATGCCTGTATTACTTTAAAAAATAAATGTTTCAAAGTTACCCTGTTTAAGGCTTCAAGGACTTCAGTTGGTGCAAGATTAAGTTCATCTAAAATAATCCAATAACCAAATTTCATAGCTTCTACTAAAATACCTATAATAAAAGAGAATAAGTTAGTTAATAAGTTGCTTATTAGCAACTTATATTAGTTAGTTAATAAGTAGTTAATAAGAGAATAAGTTAGTTAATAAATTACTTATTAGCAACTTATATTTCTTTTTCTTTTTATTTTCATTTTAAGATTACAACAACAATTTTATATAAATATCAGTTAATCATATAAGCATATATTTCAAATCTAATCATCTTAGATGAATGTAATTGACTCAATTTTATTTTGTTTATAAATTTGCTATAATCATAAATAATTTCTTTTCTATTCCACATGATAAATCTTTTATTTAAAAAAATAATATTCTATGAGAAGAAAAATAAATCTATCTAACATATTGCAACAATTTTTATATAACCAAAACTTTTATATTCTGTCTTTTTTATTTTAGGGTATCTTGAAAACTCAAGGCACAACTACTTATTTTTGGAATTTATATTTTACTAAAATATGAATTATAAAGTTCATTTTTCAATATTTAAATTCTTGCTTCTGTGACAATAATCTAATGTTACAAAAAACAATTTATATATTAAAATTATTTTTAGTAAATAATTATATTTTTAATATTAAATAAAAACAAAATATATATAATCTGCTAACATTTTGCATTAATCTGTATTAATATTTATTGAAATACTTGTTTTGTCAAATGTTAAATCAGTTCACATCAAACCTTTACAATTTATATATCTAGAAATTGCACATTTCGCATTTATTAAAATTATATACCTTCCTTGAAAAATAATTTTCCATCATCATCAGAAGTATAATTTCCTACATATTCTTGTAAATCTGAATGTTCATGATTATTTATTCTTACACATTTGTTACCAGACACTGAAGCAAGCCATTGAATTAAACTTGTTTTTCCAACAGATGTCTCTCCTTGCAATAGAACAGGATGCTTTCTGAGTAGAATATACAATGTCAAAGTTGAATTTATTAAAAATATAAAAACTTCTTGATATATTAAATTAATTTACTAAAATTAAATCTTAAAAAAAATGAATAATACTAAGTTATTTTACATTGATTCTTACCCTGCAGATACAATTCGAGCTAAATCTTTTAAGTTCTGTTTAACTGATGGTGTCAAAATATAATTTGAAGGAGTGACAGGATTATTTTCACCTCTTTGAATCCAATATCCCTCAAAGCATATAAATTTTTCACCAGGTTGTTTAATTGGTTGATGCAAAATAGACTGCTGGTTTTTCTTCAATATATGTTGCTTTATTTGTTTAATGACTAAAGGATGGCTCGATCGATCCAACTGAGTCAAAAAACTTAAACAGAATCCCTGAAATAAAAGCAAAAATGACAAAAATAAATTTTTATTATGGTTATAACCTAAAAATTAAAATAATTACATTATTAATCAAGATATTATTATTAAAAAATACTATTTGAATTCTAAATTGTAAAATATGCTATTATTAATTAGAAAATCCTAATCTATAGATTAAGTATCATAGATTTTGTAAAAATCGACAAAAAGCCATATATCTCAATGACATTAATTACATTTTTGAATATCTAAGAAGAGAAACATAAATTGTAATATATATGCTTCATACACTTAAATGCTTGATGACATTAATAATATATTTCTATTTTATATACTTATTATTATTATATTGTCTAATTTCAGAAATTTCCATATATTCCGGTGTATAAGACGACTCCTGACTTTTGAGAAGATTTTCCTGGGTTAAAAAGTCGTCTTATACACCGGAACATATGGTAATTTATGATAGAGTCAAATGTAAGTTATCCTCACATTCTATAATAAAGTTAAAAAATTTAACTTGTAAATTTATAAATATACATTATTATATTTATAAATTTATATTATGNTGTATTTAATTATACAAATATAAAATTATACTATTATAAAGAGTATGTAAAAAAAATTTTTTTTTCAGTGTAAAAAAATATTTATCATGAATTAATTTTAGCATTTTTAGCAACAATTTCAAGTTTATACATACCTCAAATAATGAACGTGGAACACAGTAACAAGGATTTCTACCAGCATAATCCAAAGCACGACATAATGTTCTCAAACTGAAATATTTAAAAAGGCAAAATAAATATTTTAACTTTAAAACAATTGAAAGGTCAGTGCAATAGTGGTCTAAGCCACATTTAAAAAAAATGAGAGAAACAGCTTGTTAAAGTTTTACATTTATGGTTTTTCTTGGAATTTAAAAAAATCCAGCAACAAGTTGCTTAACTTTCCTGGCAACGTTTGATGGCACCATCTGTTGTGATATTTTATTTTTAAAAACTTTTTGTATTTTTAATTATAAAATGGCAAAAAACTTTATTTTGAGAGTAGAGATGGGTTTTATGAAAAATTGTAAATGCTAATAATGAGTAAAATCGTCATTAAGTCAAACCGTACTTGAGATATGACATGATTCCATTTATTTCCCTACCCCATTGACGTTTAACCACCAAAATTTAATAGCATCAATCTCTTTAATACACAGACTTCCCTGCACAATTTCAGAAATTTTCAATAAAAATCACAGGAGTTATTAAGCTTTAAAGAGAGTGAACAAAATCATGACTGACACACACACATACACACACACACACACCATCCTTAGATACAGAAAAAAAAACCCTAAATTTGTTTGATTTCTCAATGTTTCAAGGTCAAGTAAAAAAATGTAAAAATCTTGGGTTCTGGGATTTTGACTGATTGCAATACTTTCCCTCTGTTATAACAGGAGCCAGGAAAGTAAAACACTATTTTATTGGTAGTTATACTATTGATGCTTCATTAACTTAATTACAATGTTATGTAGTGTAATGTTATGATTCACATTTGCAAACACATTTGTGAGTTGAATCTTATTTACGTTTGCAGATGTTCTTGCCTGTTCTCCTGAGTTTCTTTCTATCTTCTTAATGTTTCTAGTCCAAGAATCAATGTCCTTTTTTGTCCTTTTTCTTCCACAATTTTCCAAAACTTTTTGCTCATTTTCCATATTTTTGAGACTTGAAAGTTCACTATTACAATTAACATTAGCCATCTCTATTGTTACATGTGATCTTAATACTAGTTTCCTGTTGGCTGTTGGGGTTGACCAATGTTGCACTGTAGCAAACAAGAAATTCATTTCAGAGAAAAGATTACTGGTTCCAAAATAAAGTATAAAGATGAATTGATCTAATCCATTTCATAGGAAGATAATTCATATCAAAAGCAACAGCAATAGCTATACATTTTTCACTAGTTTTGACATACCCTTTTAATGTCAGAATTAATTAAACCAGAAATTCCACAAATTGTAGTATTATATACTTAGCTTCTTGATAACAAGCACTGAGTTCAGCGTTAACACGATTTTCTTATATTGCAAATACTTTTGACAAGTATTATATCGTCATCCTCAAGCGAAAAATAACAAATTTGAAAAAATAGAATGTGCAGTGTGTTCCAAGTAGAAAATGGAAAATTTTCTTGTCAATTTTTAAATTATAACGTTTGGTAATTCCGTTGGTAATGTGCAACAAGCTTTTGCGAGCATTTGAAAGATCTTAAATCCACACAACTAGCAGCGCATGCGTTGAGAAGCGATCATACTAATTGTGTGACTCTTGGTGCATTTTGTTGTTTAAATATTGGTATAAAGTAACCCATATTTCGGGTAAGTCGAGGGTAGGGACGTTGCATGCGTCTGTGGTCATCGTGAGGAGCGCTTCCCAAATAAATGTAATTCTTCTGTTATTACAGCGCTTGAGCAATGCTGTCTTTGATCATAACTGGTTATAGCCCTGCTGTAGAACTTTTCTGGCGAGCTCTGTGGTCTGTCTTCCTTTGTTTATATCCTCCTGATGTTCTGCAATACGGCAAGCGAGCATTCTTGTCGTTGCCCCTATATACTTCTCAATTATCCCTGTTATTGGATNCTGGTTATAGCCCTGCTGTAGAACTTTTCTGGCGAGCTCTGTGGTCTGTCTTCCTTTGTTTATATCCTCCTGATGTTCTGCAATACGGCAAGCGAGCATTCTTGTCGTTGCCCCTATATACTTCTCAATTATCCCTGTTATTGGATTTTCTAGTTGCAATGCATATACTCCTGATTTTTCTAAAATGTCAACTTTATCCCAATCATTGCATATGCTCCTGCGTAGGCTGGGTAAAGGAGTTAAAGGAAGGGTAATGCTGTATCGCCGGAAAATATGGCTAATAAGTATGGACGGTGCTCCTAGATACAGCAACACTGATTGTACTCTAGACATTTCTTTTTTGCTGTATAGTGTGGTAAACGGGAAAAGGGAATCTTTTACTCTATGTAGTACATGCATAAATTTGGCACCTGTGAATCCAACATGATGTACTGCTATTCTTACGATTTCCAATTCAACTTTTATTAGAGCTTGTGATGAGGGAAGTAGCATTACTCTTCTGACAAGATCTGCTATGGCGGCGTTGACATACCACGATGGTTGAAATGCATCAGCTGGAATGATATAGGGGATCATGATGGACTTATGATGCACTGTAAACTGCGGCCCTTCTAGTGACTTCCGTATCCACATATCTAAAAATGTTATAGATTGATCCTGCTCCTTTTCCCAGGTAAAATTGATGGTGGAATGAACGCTTGAAAGTTGCTGCATAAACTGGATAAACTCTTCTTCTGAATTTTCCCATATTAGTAGGATGTCATCTACATAGCGTAAGTGTAGTGATGGATAGCATGTAGCAAGTGGGAAGGTGAAAGTTTTTTGTTCCACGTCTCTCATAATGAGCTCGGCTAATACTGCGGAGAGAGGAAAGCCCATGAAAACCCCTTGCTTCTGTAAGTAGACTTTCTGGTTGAAGTGGAAATAGTTGTTTTCGGTGATGAAGATCAGCACTTCACAAATGTCTAACACTGCCTTGCCATGAAACATTTGAATATTGGTTACATCATGACACAGACATTCACCGGACATGGGAATCTGAAGCACTACCTTCATCGATTCGGTCTTTCCGACGAAGAAACATGCAGTTGTGATGGTGCATCGGTCCAAGATGTCAATCACTTGATCTTCTACTGCAGCAACTAAAACAGAGAAAGAAGCTCTTTAATTCAACAAACATTGCAACACGGGTTCAATTGGCCATGCGAACTACACCATCTCGTAACTGAAAAAGAACTCTTTTATGAACTTCAAACTTTTATTAAGAAGACTAAAGCGCTTGAGACGAACTTTAAAAGAACACATTAGTGTTCTTGTCTCTACACCCTCTATCGATCTACTTGGTTCAGTTGCCCCTACATTTGTTTCTAATTATTTTGTACTAGACGGCGAAAAGCCGTACTTGTTATAACCTTTTCGATATATAGTTTAAGTTAATTTATTGTAATACTTTACTTTCGGTGATAACTGTAAGATTCAGATTTCATCAATGTATAATTTATGTTTTTTGATGGCGAGAAGCCATATTTGATTAATACATTAATTAATGTTGTCTAATTACTATTGTATTTTCGATTAGTAAATTTGATCATTCTGTGTGTAATCATTTTCCTTAAAATATTTTGTTAAAAGTTTATTTATCGTCTGTATTCTGACAGGCAAGAACTGTATTTGTTCAAAATATTGATTTGATTTATGTTCTGTTTTTTCGGTTAAAATTGTTTTCAAACTACGTGTAATCAAACTGTCTTCAATTGTACATACTGTAAATATTGCAATTATTGTCTGTATCTGATGGCCAGGAGCCATATCTGTATGTTTCATTTGATTCTTAATAAAACAGGTTGGGCGCCCATGAAACTTTCCCTTTTCATCCCTTTCCTATCTTGCTTTACTCTTTCCCCTTCGCCTCTTCCCTTAACTATCTTTCCTTTACTCTTCTTCACACTCGGACAATACCAATGAGTAGTCCCAAGTCTTCATCCTCTTTATAAAAATGAAAATGAAAATGTATAACACTTGTTGAACTGTAAAACCTTTTCTGAGGAGCATGGCGTTGGCTAGCATTATGGCTTCAAATACAGGAACGGATGGGTATAGGGATATCACGTCCATTTCGTAGAACATGTTGGTATTGCCATGTGCTTTTGCCATGTTGGAATTAATGATGGTTTTGGCATCTACAGAGGAAAAAGTGACATGCAGTGATTCCGGAAGTATCTCTCGTAGAAACTTTGCAAGGGCTTTTTCCAGGTGGTAAGTGGAATGTGACCTTTTGTTTACTAATGGTCGTAGTGGCCAGTTCTCTTTATGCGTTTTTGGCTGAAAAAATAGCCTAGGGCATGCAACGTTGGATGGAGGATTGAGGCGTCTTGGTAGTGTCAAGGCTATTCCTGGAAGTGCTATGATTTTCTTTGCTCTTCGTAGTACTGCTGGTGTTGGGTTGCTGTTTATCTCCACAGAGCTTGATTGTAACAGAAAATCATTGACTCTAGTGATAAAGTCATTTTCTCTGCACAAAACAAATCTTTTGTCCTTGTCTGATACTAAGAGCCTCAGATTGTTCTTGCAAGGAATTTCGTTACTGCCTGGTGGTCTTTGTGACTATTTGGTGCATCAGAGATTTGCTCTGTTGTAGCAAGTTTTGTGATGACTTCTAACTCCATTTGCTGGTATATGGGTGCAGTCTGGCAGAATTTTAAAGCTGCTAATGTGGTTGGGATTAACTGGTCAAAATTGGATCTCGTAGGAGGTGAGATGTACTTGGGATCCCGTTGCAGTGTGTTATGCACATTTATGGGCACATTCTCTTTTGTATAGTTATAATATGGAGTGGTTACTGCTGCCGTTTTTTGCATACGTGACGAATTGAGTAGCCACTGGAGCTTTTTGTTCAACTTCTTTTTAATTTTCTGCATGGCAATCAATGTTATACTTTACACTTTGCCCAGTTGAACGTACAACGTGCAGGGGTCACATGCCTTAGGAAAATACAGATGAGCTACATAGGTTTTTTGCTCTGCTTCTGCGAGGCACTTGCATTTATTTCTAATTAGCTTGGTCAAAAGAGACTGTTCTACCTTTGGAAGTATCCATCGTATGCACTCTGGAAATTTCTTGCGCTTAAACTATATGCACTTGGGAACCACTCTTTTTGCTCTGCATTTCAAAAAAAATTGTAATTGAACAAGCAATTTTTGCCACAGTTTCTGTAGCTTCAGCAATATGAAAAAAAAAAAGTTTTTTGCAGTTTCCATTAGGTAAAGAAATAGTTGATTAAATAAAACTCATGCCAAAATTGTATAGCTTCTTGATAAGTTCACTGAGTTCAGCGTTAACATGATTTTCTTATATTGCAAGTACTTTCGACGAGTATTATATTGTCGTCCTCAAGCAAAAAAAAAATACAAATTTGAAAAAATAGAATGTGCAGAGTGCTTGTTATCAAGAAGCTATACAATTTTGGCATGAGTTTTATTTATTTAACTATTTCTATATTATATACTTATCCTACTTAATGTTATCAATTGGTTATCAGCAGAGAAAATACTGTAAGTGATTAAAATATGAAAATTCTATTATTTTATTACTAAAATAAATACATTATTATTATTATGTGTTGGGTTTAGTGGGTTATACTCGGTACACACCGGTGGCTGTGTACTATGNCACTGAGTTCAGCGTTAACATGATTTTCTTATATCGCAAGTACTTTCGATGAGTATTATATTGTCGTCCTCAGGCAAAAAAAAACAAATTTGAAAAAATAGAATGTGCAGAGTGCTTGTTATCAAGAAGCTATACAATTTTGGCATGAGTTTTATTTATTTAACTATTTCTATATTATATACTTATCCTACTTAATGTTATCAATTGGTTATCAGTAGAGAAAATACTGTAAGTGATTAAAATATGAAAATTCTATTATTTTATTACTAAAATAAATACATTATTATTATTGTTATTATATGCCAAAGATCCACATTATTAAATTTCCATCTGCTTTATATATAACTAAAACAATTACTTTTTTATTTACAAAAACTTCATAAAAATAACTCAACCTGTAATGGGGATGATGTCCAGTTCCATCCGAATATTTGCATTCAGCATCTTTTCTAATCTGGATATAAAATTTGACAATATTGTTTACTGTTTCTGTTGAAAGTGTTAAACCTTTCAGATAACTGTCAATTAAAATTGCTAAATCTTCCTTGTCTTCTAAATCTTCCATAAAAAATTCTGAAAATCTAAAAAAAAATTATTTAAAATTATAGTGGCTACGCAAATATCAATTTTCATACTCTATACATTCAATTTACAATTTACTATACAATTTACAAGTACTGTATATTANCACCGACTCTGTTAGTGCACTTCAGGCTTTGATCTCGTGCGAACCTAGTTCTCACTCTAAAGTGATAAAAATTCATAATTTTATTTGCTTATTTGTTTAACTATTGCATATGAAACTGATGTGTTAATAAAATATTTATAAAATGAATTTTCTGGTTCTTCTGTTGCTTCCTCTTTTTGTTTTTCTGGTTTTTCTGTTCTCTCTTCCCGTACTTTTCCCGTACTATGGTAACTATCAACACATCAGGATGTGTTGATAGTTACCATAGATCAGGGCTGTCCAACTGGCGGCCCGCGGGCCGTATACGGCCCGTCAAATAATTTTTACTGCCCGCAAGTACATTTTACTATGAATAAATTTATGTTACTAAATTATTATTACTAATAATAAAATTATTTTACTATGTGAAAATTTAAATCTAATTTGAATTGAAAGTAGGTACTATTTAGTTTGCGTAAAGTAGGTACTATTTAGTATAATTAACATAAACTGACTTTTCATTTATCAACCTTCTTGGCCCCCGAAATGTTTGGTGAAGAAAATATGGCCCGCGGGCTATGATAAGTTGGATAGCGCTGCCCTAGACCAT